TGCCTGCATGTACCAATCATGCATGGATAAGGGGGTCGAATGGGAAAGTCCCTCACTAGATAAAAATAGCTAACTTAGTAACTGTTTCGCACCTACAATCATTTCTATAATAATCTTGTAAATACTGACCTTAAAGCGTCGAACAGGTCAGGTTCCTTTGTGTCAGTATCTTTTCAGTACACATAATGAATTACTATTCAGCTTTCATGATTGATCCTGCGAAGGTGTTTCTCTTTTTTTAACTGTAATTATGTCATGTTTTAATTATATTTGACGAATGAATCTTAAAAATAATGATGTCTTGCAACATCGAATGAGACATCGTAAATTTGTGCAAATTGCGTTCCATTATTATCCCGGCTTTAGCCGTTACGGTCGTATCAGGACAATTATCCGCTGGACAATCACCCCCCCCCCCCGGAAAACTACCCCAAAGACAATACACTACGGAAAATTACCCTCCTGAATAATACCCTCAATTACAACCACCCCCCCCCCCCCCGAGGACAGTTACCCATACCCCGAAAAATTGAAAAAATACCCCCCCCTGTTCATTAAAGGTTATTGTCCTAGGGGAGAAATTTCCGGGGGGTAATTGTCCTCGGGGGGATACCCATTTACTTCTCCTGGGTCGAGTGCGGCAAATGTAGATTAATGTCTTGCTATAATACAATCACATCAAAATATAAAATGCATAAAAAGTATGACTAAATAAATAATACATATACAAATTACAAAGAACATAAGGATAAAAGGAAGAAGACAAAAAGGAAGAAATAGAGAAGAATAATAGAGGAAGAGAAATGGAAAGAAGAAGGAGAAAGAAGGGAAAGTAACATAAAGAAAAGGAGAGAGAGAGAGGGAGAGAAGAAAATGAATTAGGGGAAGATAAGAGAGCTTTAGGAGAGAAAGGAAAGAGGGAGAAAGTACATGGCATTTTAGAAAAGGTTAAACAAGTTATTGGGAGGAAAAGTGAACTAAGTAATTAAAGACCAAAGACCAACTCCTAAGTACATGTACATGTTGAAATGCATGACACTTCATATCATAATCTTATCTAACATGACAGTATACTAGGCATAATATACTGATTCTGACTCACTCACTGTAGTGTGGAAAGCTGTCAGATGATAATTCGATAATTCAGAAAGCTGATTTTGTTTCCTTTTCAAATTCACCTGACACGGGTTAAAAAGGCATTCTTTACTACGCTATTCGGAACAATAAGGGATGGGGGCATGTTGCGGGAAGTTTCACAAATTCAGGATAGTTACAGCATAAACATTATGACTTTGCTTCGTGATGTATCCAGGCGAAAACAATGCCATAACCATATCGTATTGTATTCATGAATTATACCCTCCCACGTAGTATTCCTTGCTATCTATTCCCGTTTATATACATCATGTTATTTTTTTTCTCTCGTGGAAATATTGTGACCAGGACAAGTTTATGAAATCTAAGGTGGATCGGGGGGGGGGGGGTGAGTAGGTGGGGGTGATGGTCATGGGGTCTTTTTATGGTTTATATATATATATATATATATATATCAATGGTTTGTTTTATTGAAAATCATCTCGCAGCCCGAAGGCTGAATTGTGTGACTTTTTACAAATTGATTAAAAAAAATTACATTACAATAAATACGTGTGAAATCAGAAATTACAAGATATAAATTCAAAATTCGTTCAAGTTCATAGTAAAAATATAAAATATAAAGATATATAGAAATGTGAACATGCAATAATATTTCCTCTCCGATATTCATTGATTTTAAACGGGTCGTGTTTGTTTGTTACCAGACAGGCTTATACAATAGTTGCAATAGATTTTAAAAGTGAATAATTGCGTGATTTTAACAGATTAAAAAGCTCAGTAAAATACATTGATACTTTGGAAATTTACATTTGACAGAAAATAAGTTAAGATTTACAAAGGCAAAAAATAGATATACTTTTAATATTCATAGGTTCAATGCGTATCATGTGCTGATCGGTTTGTAAACGGGGCCAGCTATTCCAATTCGTTACAATAGAGACACATACAGGGTGACGGATACAATAGGAGAGAAGGGGGAAATGAAAAGGAGAGAAGAAAGAGAGAGAATAGGAGAGAGAGGGAGAGAGACAGGGGAGAGAGAGAGAGAGAGAGAGGGGGGAGAGAGAGAGAGGGGGGGGGGGGGAGAGAGAAAGAGTGCTAGAAACAGGGGAGAGAATGGAAGAGGAAAATAAGTTTAGCAGTTACGATTGATACAGTAATGATTTGTCAATTAACTGGAGAGAGGGGGAGGGGGGGGGGGGGAGAGAAAGAGTGCTAGAAACAGGGGAGAGAATGGAAGAGGAAAATAAGTTTAGCAGTTACGATTGATACAGCAATGATTTGTCAATTAACTGGATAGAATTCATTAAAATTAATATCATGTAACAAACTGGAAAAAATTCAAATATAATAAGGGATGAAAAGCGAAAAGTGAAGCTATGTTTGATGATTATAGTTACATATCATTCAATAGGTCGACCAAGAATGGAATTGGGCTTCTTTTGTATCTATTAGTTCTGCATCTGATTGCGGGATAAGGAGCAACCCTTCTCAGAGACTGATAATATCTATTCTTGCGTGGGAGTGGCAACCAGTCCCTGAACTGAGGTGAATTTATTAGTGATTTAGCAAATCTTTTGCAAAGTTCTCGCCTTCTATTGTCAAGGGTTTGGAGATTTTCGTAGGTCACGTACAATGATCCCAGTACAATTTTGAGTGCACGTTTCTGAATCCTTTCAATCTGGGCATTTTGTTGGTTTGTTAAGGATGCCACACTGGAGCAGCATATTCAACAAGGGGCCTGACATAGCCTATGTACACACATAGTAAGTCTTTCCATGGTAATTGGAATGGTTTCAGGGTTATTAGCATATACATGCGCCTATTTGCGTTACGCACCATAATGTTATCGACATGGCTGTTCCATTTCAGATCTGTTTGTAGAAGTACCCCCAGGGCTTTGATTGATTGCACCTCATCAAGGATCTGGTCCCCAAGACTTACATTAATTGGAGGGAGTTGGGTTTACTCTCATTACATGACATTTACTGGCATTAAGCTGCATGGCGTTGTTATTGCACCATGTGTTGAGTTCAGATAGGGTATTGTGGATTTCTGCAGCCGCACCCCGTGGTCTCGCTTTCGCTATTGTTATGTCATCAACGTATTTCCAATGCTCCTAATTTGAGGATGCCAATGCGTCGTTGATTAGGACTAGGAACAAGATCGGGCCTAAGCGTGTCCCCTGTGGGACGCCCGCGTTCACTGGAGCCCAGGTAGACATGAGGTAGCGACCACAATGGGTGCGACCAGTCAGAAAGTTAGAAATCCAAGGTACAAGTGAGGGACAACACACAAGGTGGATAAGCTTAGAGATAACTACTGTATGATCAACTTTATCAAAAGCCTTAGAAAAGTCAGTTGTGACTAGAGTGGATGTGGTAGCTAATTTTTTCGTAAGAATCTTACTATTTCTTCTTGCCTCTTAGCCTTTCTTTGGTCTCCTTCTTAAAACAAATTATTAGTGTTATTATTATTATCATTAATATTATTACTATTTGTACTATATATTATTGATATTATTGTCAGAGATTTTCGGGTGATAAGAAAATGTGGTAACCCTTTTTTAGGGACTCAGAATCTCTTGAGAATAGGACCTACCACCTTTTTACTAACTCCAGAAGCCCCGTAGAAAAATATTTTGTTTTATTATATTTTCTGCATTTTCACTATCTGTAGAACTGTCTTACCGACACAGGTTGATATGGTGCAGTGTGACATGGAGTCACGTAGTCATTAGAAGAGGAGGAGTAAAAGGTCGAGAATCAGATCTTCTTAAAGAGAGCTTGGTCAATTATTCGCTAAGTGGGAGGGGGAGGGGAGGTAGTGAGCACTTTATTTGTTTTGCCCCCGAAAATCTGAAAATCGCACCCCCCCCCTCTTGATCACCAGGGGAGGGGGCCCGTTTCCAAATAAAGGTAAAATTAACGTGTTTTTACCTGTTTTTCCCTGGGGAGGGCCTCACCCCCCCCCCCCCCATGGATCCGCCACTGTTGAGAAGATGAGAAATGTCTTGGGGACCAAAAGAAGATAATAATAGAAATGTTAGGAAATTCCGTGCAATGTGCCCCGTACGACCTATTTAATTTATCCATCTTTTTCATCAATGAATACAAAAATCTTTATATGACCATGAATTATGGTAGAGATACCAGAAAGCATCATCGTTCAATGGCTATATCACAATAATCTTCATTTTGTTAATGAAATATTTGGGGAAAAGACGTATGTCGAACCGAACACATTGCACGGAATCGCCCATGTACACTCCAGACTCGTATGATCCATTACTACTTTAAAACATATATCGCAAAAGGTAGAGCCTAGGCGATATTATAATCATTTCGAAAGAAAAACCTTTCCCACACTTTATTCCCTATATCCGATGTATAATGAAAAAAAAAGGGGGGGGGGGGGTTCAAGAACGAATGAGTTCAACCTTGAATTTCATGTAGAGAGGGAGGGTGGGGTGAGAAGTAGGGAGTATAGGCTAGACTTATTCATTTACAGAAAATACTAATCGCTTTAATTCTGTAAGCAGTGTGCTTGAAATATTACAATCAAAATAAAATTAAAGTTAAGATTGGATCAAGAAAATAATGTGTTTGGTAAATGTGTAAATCATGAAAACAGAGAATCGTGGTAAATCTTTGTCTATAATTATGTTTACTATGTTAACGTAGAAAATGTCTTTTTTGTATATCATGCATGAAAGAGAATTAAAATATCTAAAAGTAAAAACAATCAATTTAAACAGAAAAATTATCATCTATCAACACAATTCTCTATCTCTCCCTTTCATCTTTCTATTGTCTCGTTTCTTATTACATAATGTGCGACTTCTCTCACAATGTTGTACTTTACAAGTGACATGCACCATGTAGACACTTTCACGCAAAATAAAAATTCGAATCTTTTTATTCACAAAATATTCCATACAGAAATATGCATATTACTTAAACAGAAGTCTGTTTTGATGAAAGACTAACCTTAAACGTCGCCTCATGTATATTCATAAACATCGCTTCATGTATATGTTTCAGTATCTCATTTAGCATATTGAAGCCATAGTTGAATAAAGTATTTCATGATGTAATAATGTCAACCACAAGATTACATCACCAATAATAATATCTCTCTAGTTAATTCCGTCAATAAATCATGTTTGTTCAATGCTATGCAGTTCGTACATTGAAAATAGCATGTCCATTGCTTTACATGGACAGTACATACGAACTTGGTGAAATGTAAGTTTTATCATCGTACATTCAAGATAAGTGCATGTCTGTCCGAAGCGCAATAACAATTGTTGAAGTTGGAAGGCTACTCATCGTTTATTTTTGTCTACCAATCGATTAAAAACTTGGAAGAACAAGTATCCTACGTCTACTGGTAAAAAGACGTCAAATAGTTAATCCTTAAATCGATGCGGAGAAGGTCACGTGATTGAATAGTTAGGTATTCAATTCAATTCAATTGGGTGTGTTGTTTGACCGTGCGTAACTATGTCTATTTGTAAATATAACAGAATACATGGTGCACATATATATACATGTCTCATAATTTTTTGGAAAGAAATTTACAACATAATTTTGAACATCATCTAAACAAAATAATCAGAGTTCTTGAAATGAAACTCTTCGTCAATTATAGCGACAATTTTTCCAACATCCATTTGTGACACATTTATACATATTCGATTTTAGGTGAAACACGTAGAAAATGCCTGATCGCAGTTGTTGACATAATACTCTATACCAATAATATATTTGTATTAGTAATCACAAGTACTAAGTAATATTGCTAAAAACTAGTCTCATAACTGTAAAGTTTTATAACGTCTTATTTTCTTATACAATGCTGAACCATAACTTTGTTTGCGGTTACAGTAATTTGAAAAGTTTTTATGTATCCGATTAATGATGAACAAAATGCTATGTCAATTGATAAGACGGTCCTAAAAACTGAGAGGGTAATGTGAATTGCTTGACAGATTAATAACTGATAATGTTGTAACATTAACAAATTTAGACTAACAAATGAACATTTTCTTCTATGAGTAATTGCGTCAGAAGACCCGCTAAACCGACATGTCGGTCGCTTGGGCCGTCGCGACGCGTGAACCCTCGGGTAACGGTTTTCAGAATGCCTGCGAGATCCCAATTGGTGGTCTCGTGGGTCGTCGGTTTCGTCGGTCTCGAGGGCCTCGAGGGCTGTTGCTCTCGTAGGCTGTTTCCTGTTGCGGATCTAAGGGTGATACGTCGAACATTCTTATATGGAAGATTGCCGAAGGAACAGGTAAGTCGTGCAGTATTAACGTTAAAAGACCCATCTGATGTTATGACAATCCCTCTTTAGAAGAAAAGTCGAGTTCTGGTCATCACGATTGAATTGTTAAAGTAACTGTCTGGAAGCAGTCGGAAAAGGTTTTGATTATGCAGCACATACAAATTAATTTATACGACAATATGATGTGGCATGAAAGTTTATTCCAAACACTTGAGCTTTTTCTTGTTATACTTCAAATATAAGGATATTTGAATATCCCTCCTTTTCAAGGAAACATTTTGAATATTATGATTTTCTTTCACACTAACATAAAAAGAATGACAAAGTTATTTTTCACCTTTCCTGGAACTAAACTTTCGAAGTAAAAGTTAAGCATTTGTTTTGCCATCCTAGTAACCATACGATGATTTAGGGACCTCTTTAATGATGATACGAGAAGCACTATTCCATCCCGTGCATGCATCGTAGTTTCCATACCCGGAGCAGTCTCCGACCATGAATTTCACATTAATTGATCCAGCTCCGATTGTGTGGCAGTACCCTGAGAAAATGATAAATGGGTTAGTTATTTTTTGCATCACACACTGTTAGAAAAAAATTAAACAAGTTGTTTAAAATTTTAAACAACCCCGAGTTAACTGGTGAATCGCTCAACGTTGTTTAAAAATTAAACAAATTAAGGTTGTTTACATTTTGAACACTTAGTTGTTTAAAAATTAGGAAACCTTTTAAACAACAGTTGTTTAGTAATAAAATTGCACAACTCGGTTGTTTAAAGCAAGTTGTTTAAATTTTAAACAATAATGTTTAAATTACTAAGCAACTGTTGTTTATTCAGTATTACTGCACAACTGGGTTGTTTAAAAGGAGTTGCTTAAATTTTAAACAGAACTGTTTAATGGTTATTATCTGGTTGTTTGAATTTGTGAAATGACCTACTGGAACCACTCCTGCAATAATCACAACGATGTATACACTGCAACATGCAGAGCTTGTTGCCAATTTACTTCAACATTTGTTCATCATATTCATGGCAGTGACAGACAACATTATTATTTGTCTCTATAACTTCACCTAAACCCCATCGGCGAAGCCGAAAAGAACCAAGTCGTC